TTGATATTCAATAAATGGCCCGCTACAATATGCTCCGAGATAGGCACAAAAGCAAACAATTCATTAAAGGTAGACTTTTTCGTAGTAGTATAAGCCTGAATTAAGTTTGGATCAGTGATCATTGAGTTTTCAGCAGCTTGCGAAAAATTATCATTAATGCCTTTAACGTCATTCAAATGTTGTGGAAGTACCTGCTCTTTTGATTTGATAACATTCAGATGCCTTAGTGATTTCCAGAGATCCCTAGAACTTTTATTTTTAAAAGATGATTCATAGTACGCCTTCTGCTCGGTCTTTATTGCGCAAGCAACATGTTTTCTAAAAGATTTGTATTCATTAAGTGCTAGTTCAATTTTAGACTTTTTGTACTTGCTGTAAAGACGATCTCTAAACTTAATCATGTCTCCAAGCAGGGGAGTAAGCCAGGGGGCAGATTTTTTGCTAAGCCTCACCGTCTTTACAGGTACATGAGCATCGAATAATGCTAGAATTAAATGGTTAAAGTACTGTAATTTCACTTCAACATCATCAATTCCATACACAAGGTCAAACGGCTGTGATTGAAGATCTAACGTGAAAAAATTCAAGTTAAATGCAGAAAAATCTCTGTAGGTTCTCATCACCGGGCTCCTCCCCTCATCAGGAACACTAAGGCAAAAATATATCAATTCATGATCAGTAAGGTCATGAAGACACTCAAGTGATAAAACAGAAACATTAACACAAGATGTAACCACAACATCAATAAGCGTCTCAGTAGCAGGTGTAATGCGAGTTGGTTCATTAACAAGCTGCAGCAAACCATAACCTTCAAGTATCTCTGAAAAACCAACTGCGTGACCATGACTGGGATTCATCAAATCAATATTAATATCTCCAGCACATATCAAGTCATCACACTGTGGAATGAACAAAGATAAAGTTTCATCAAACGAATCAAAAAATTCACTACAAGCCGAGCAAGGAGGCCTATACAATGCACCAATACAGTACCTGATATTTTTAAAAATGACTGAAATCCACAACTGTTCCAAATGCTCAAAACTGAGAACACCAAGTCAATGAAACTTATAATTAGTTTTAATGTATATGTTACCGTCAATCTGTATAATTCAGGTATTCTATACAATGCCTAGGTAATCTATAAAATAGCTGGGGTGTCTAGGCACTGTATGAAATATTAAGAAGATTATTGTCCATTAGATACTTTACCTAGGTAATGTATACAATTCCTAGGGATTACATAGAGTACCTGTTGGTCGACTGGCAATGTGTAAAATAAATAGATTTTGATCTGTATTTATCCATTTTTACACATAATAAACTTTTTTATAATCTATAAGTTATTGTATAAAGAAGGCACCTAGTACCTTTCTGTAACTATAGTAAAATCACAGTTAAATGACATTAAACTTAAAATTTTTCTGGGATCACTAACATAATGTTATTTGCTTATAAGTAATCAAGTAATAAGTATTAAAAACTTAGGAAACAAAATAATTGTGTAAAAACAAGACGTAGAATTGAGTAAGTAAAAAAATATATTTATTTATTCTTACATGCGGAACTATTATGACACTTTGAAGTGCATAAAATCTTACTTTTAAGACATGAGTGTTTTTTGCAACTACATTTAATAAATCCCTGACCTGTCCCCGTAGATTATTGCAGATTCGCAACTGTACGGAGCGTCGTTTCTTGAGGGACATCTTCTTTTTTAAGTAGTTCTTGACGACAAACTGTAAACTGCTGTCTTGAATACCTATTCTTTACAACACCTTGCTTTGTTCCTATTTTATAAAGTTCGTCATCCGTTTTTTGTAAGACTACAGCTAGTATATTGCGAGCATCACCACGACCTCTGTCGACTTCCGGAACAGGGATTCTTACAGTGGTACCCAATGGCACAGGGGGAATTTTTTTTTTCAGAAGTTTAAGCATTTTCGGACCTTGCTCTGTTAAATTATCTTTGGAACTGATGCGGTTCTGTACAGCTAAAGCGTTTTTTAAGCATAATGGGCAAACAACTTTAAAACCATAGCCTTCTGCCATATCTTTCTCCGGAGCACCACAAATAGCATGAATGGGTCTATTGCATGTTCTACACGAAAGAGTTCCCGTTGTCCCCTCAGTACAAACACAGCACAAGAGTGGGGAATCCAATGATTGCTCACGTTCTGATACAAAATTCAGAACATATAAGGGTTGTCCATGTACCTCAGAAGGAAGACTTTCAACATTCACAAGTTCATCAAGAGTCTCGGCACTTTGGATAGTCATGTGTTCATCGTCATGTTCATCAAACGCACTTTGAGCATTCGAAACTTCATTACGGATCTCAGAACTTTCGATGACGGGGCTTTGTTGATGTTGAGCCTCTAGAGGTTGATTTTGTGTCCGAACTCGATCTACTATTAAAGATTCTGAAAGAATCAGAATACTTGGTGATGACTTAATCATATTTTCTAGATCCTCTTCACTCTCCAGGTTGTGAGTATCATCGAGAGGTAAAGATATACCAACTTTTACTTTAGATCCAAAAAGAGCTTCGTAAGGTGTTCTTTTGATGCCTGAATGGAATGCTTTATTCTTCATGAGTTGTACAAAGCGCAGACCATCACTCCAACGATTACTGTCACTATCTTGCATCCAAGTTGTTAGCATATTTTCGATGTCCTGGTTTGCTCGTTCGACACTCCCCTGACTTTGGGAATGTCTAGGCTTACCATGTACAATTTTTAAAGTTGGCCAGTACGTTTTAAGACTGCTTACAATTTGGTTTGAGAATTCTCTACCATTGTCTGATTGTAGGATCGCTGGTGCGCCAATCAATGTAAAAATATCCAGTAAATTGTAAGCTACTTCCTCTGCGCGTTTTGTTTTTAGTGCTCTTAATATTACAAACTTCGTGAGATGATCCTGATAGACCATTACAAATTTATATTCTCGATCTGGATGAGATTGATAGTCAATCAAATCTACTTGACAGCGAGAATTAAATTCAGATGAAAGTATGGGTTTGACGACAATCCCTTTTTTTATTCCTTTTTGTTTTTGCTGGCACGGTTCGCAAAGTTGCAGATATAGTTCAACATCGTGGCGAGTTATATTCTTGTATCGTGTAGAAAGCTCGTTCAGCATACGGTCTCGACCGCCATGGCCGATACTTTGATGTACCTCGTGAAGTACTTGGAATAATTCACTATCAGCAACATAATATATAATATTGTTATTTGGGGTATTCACAGGAAATATTAACCTATGTTTTTGACCAACAGTTATAAAATCATAATGCTTCAATAACCAATAATCCCGGGGTAACTTCTTATTGGCTGTTTTTGCATTTTTTATTTCTTCTAAAATTGTTTATACCGTTGATCGTCAATAAACGTGCAGTTTTTAGTATTTGCTGATTTTCTTTTAATACACAACTGTGAATAAAATCTTTCTCTCATCGCCGCCATTTTAATGAATTAGATTCACTAACGAAACCACACTACACTTCCACCCTTGTCGCACGCAGCATAATGAAATGCAAGCAAAAACAAGTCGCTGCGTGTTTGTTTACTGCATAGCCACATGTCTCCCCCTTCCCTGTTCTCGCCTTTTACACACATTGCCTGCTTCGCATTCGGTATTTTATAGAATACCTAGGCAAAGTATAAAATTAATAATATTTCATACATTACCTAAACGTTTTAGGTATTCTATAAAATGTCTAGGTATTGTACAGAATACCGGATTATACAGATTGCCGGTAACATATATACCAACACCACCGCCACGTTTGCTTGTAATTCTACGTTGGTGAATAAAATAATAATTTGGAATGTGACACGCTGTCAGCATAAAATCATCTGATATCCAAGTTTCAGATACTAATACAACATCAAAATCTTGTTCCAACACAAAGTCCGAAAATATAGAAAACCCCGACAGTAATGATGATATTCACATTGGCAAACTTAATCATAAGACAAGGCAGAACACTTTAGGAAAGCAACAAATATAACAAAGAGTAAACAGCAAACTAAATGGACTAATTAAACTAATTAATTAAACTATTCAATTGTGTAAAACAATTTGCGAAAAACTTTCAAAAAAATTTATCGAGGATGGTTAAGAAATAAGTATAAAAATAAAATCTCAGCTGATTAGTCGATTTGATAACATAGAAATGTGCAATACATTAGCTGTTTCGACGTTTCTAAATCCGCGATTCAAATTGATTGGATTTGTTAACCAACAATGCGCAGAAAATGCCAAAAAAGCACAAATCGCCGCTGAAAAAAATCAACCATGAAACATAAAAGCCATACTTCTAATCCCAGGACTATAATCGAAATAGAAAGATACCTGGAAGAAGATCTATTGCCAAGACATAAAGATCCACTCAAATTGTGGCGTGAACACGCATATTATTTCCCATACGTTAAACAAATAGTACAAGACAAATTTTGCGTATAAGGCACTTCAGTTTCTTGCTAGAGGCTATTCTCTAAAGCTGAAATAATTATTTCAGAAGGAAGAAATATAATTATTCGGCAAGAAGTATCTTCGACCGATAACCGTGGGAGGCAAATTTAAAACGATCTATTCGGGGTGAACGGTGAAATAAGCACAGGAACAACTTTTTACAATTTGCTAATATATATAAACATTCAATGACAACTTGCTTGCTATATGCTATACAAAGATTAAGATTTTAACTGGGTTTTCCGTTATAAATGATTAAAAGTAAAATAAAAGAAATAACACCACAGCAGGATAGTGTTACCAGAGTACTTTGTTTTAATTAAGTGTAAATNAATGGGTGATACGTGGTGGATATTGTTTGTTGCTTTGATTCTGTTGATCGTGGTTTACATTTTGTTGACGTCTGAGGTTATATCGGTTGTGTTGTTCTTGAATTTCTTTATGAGTTTTACATCCTCTATAATTCGAAGGATGTTCATCTCCGCAATTCGCGCATTTAGGTGGTTCTGGAGCTTTCTTTTTACAATTAATATATGAGTGTCCTTCGCCACATTTAACACACCTTGGTTGTAGAGCGCAATAATTTTTTGTGTGGCCATATCTCTGGCAGTTGTGACATTGTGGGATATGTGATGACCTTTTGCGGGGTTCTACCGTAACTATTGCCTTAAATATTTCATTGACATTAAATATTTCTTTTGCGTTATCTGTGGCTGTTAGTTCCACCGCGCATAAAGGCATTGGGTGCTTACTTTTGTTCAAAAGTCGGGTTACTTTGATTATAGGTAATTTTTTAATTTTTAATTCATCTTCTATTTCTTTGTCAGTTAAAGAAATGGGTACGTTTCTGATTACTACTGATAATGGTTTGTTATTTGGGTCTTGGAAGGTATGATATTCTACTTTATTCTCTTTGTAGTACTTCGTAAGGGTTCGATAATCATTAGCGTTTGTTAAATTAATTTTGAGGTAAGTATTTTTATATGCGGTAGTAAACGTTTCAGTTGTTAGTGCTTTTATGTCATTTATTATTTCATTGTGGTTAGTAGCGTTGCGTAAGAATATAGGTGGAATTTTTAGTATATTTGATTGCGGCTCATCTCCGCTTTTTTTACTATCATTCGATTTTGATGAACTACCCTTATTACTCGTACTACCATTGTTATTTTTTGATTCATTATCTTCGTTCTGACTATCCTGAGTTATTATATCCATAGAATCTTCATTTGTTGATAACGGATAATATCGGTTTTGTGTAACTAGTTTGTCTGGTGGGCACCAGTTGTATCGTTTAGTGACCTCGCTTACGGGAGGGGATAACTGGTCTCGAGAACGTTTTTGGCTCGCAGACATTGTCTATTAATAAAACTACCCCGAAGGGTAGTTTTATTAATTATTATTTTAGTTCACTTCGAATACTCCGACACCTGTATAATATGGATTGAGCTAACTCTAAGAGGTTTCTGTTATGATAGTTCTTTTCAATGTTCAAAACTTTGACATTATCAAAGTCAAATTTATGTCCTGTGTCTGTGGTATGTTGTTATAGAGCACAGGAGGTTTTTAATAACCTACAATCGCTTTTGTGTTTCGAAATCCTACTTTTTAGCCACTGATTGGTTTGCCCAATGTATTTGCCATTGCATTCCCCACACGAAATGCAATAGATAACACCTGATTTTAATAGTGGATCAGTGCTGTCCTTGACTTTAGTGAAATATTTTTGTAATTTGTTATCGTAACAATCCACAACTTTGATGTTGTCAACATTCTTAAAGACTTTTTTAATTTTACCCGTAAGTTCATTTACGTAAGGAATTTTACGATATTTAACAATCTGTTCAGTTGTGTTTGTTGTTGTATTTAAGATGTTGGTAGAGAATAACAATTTATTAACAAGTTTTGGGGGATACCCATTATTAACAAAGGCATTGCTTAAAAATCTCAAATTTTTATCAAGGAACATCGGATCACTAATATGCATTATTCTATGTTTCATTGTCAAAACTGTTGCTATCTTGTGGCCAAAAGTGTGGTTTGAATGAAAGTTTAAATATCTTCCAGAATAAGTAGGCTTTCTATACCAATCAAAAACGATCGAGTTATCCAAGTTTCTGATGACTTTAGTGCCAAGAAAGGGTAACCCCCCGTCGACTTCGTGATCAAGTGTTAAACTGTTAAATTGATTTAAAATTGCTTCTGCATCGTCTTTGTGGACACTCAAAATTAGATCGTCTACATATTTTTTGATGAAATTAATTCTGAAGTTAATGTTATTTTTCTTTAAAATGTTATCAATGACGTGGTCCATCAATTCCGGGTTCCTTCAATTTGACGGTAGATTGTTCCATTAAAAGTAAAGACTGAAGCTTCAAAGATTAATTTCAAACCCAACAAAAACGTGTCCTTATCCCAACCACACTGGTCCGCTACTAAATCCCANCTTGTGGCCAAAAGTGTGGTTTGAATGAAAGTTTAAATATCTTCCAGAATAAGTAGGCTTTCTATACCAATCAAAAACGATCGAGTTATCCAAGTTTCTGATGACTTTAGTGTCAAGAAAGGGTAACCCCCGCGGACTTCGTGATCAAGTGTGAATTGTATGCTAGGGTGGAAACTGTTAAATTGATTTAAAATTGCTTCTGCATCGTCTTTGTGGACACCCAAAATTAGATAGATCGTCTACATATTTTTTGGTGAAATTAATTCTGAAGTTAATGTTATTTTTCTTTAAAATGTTATCAATGACGTGGTCCATCACTATCAGAGCCAGTATCGGAGAGATTTTGGAGCCCATAGGGGTTCCTTCAATTTGACGGTAGATTGTTCCATTAAAAGTAAAGACTGAAGCTTCAAAGATTAATTTCAAACCCAACAAAAACGTGTCCTTATCCCAACCACACTGGTCCGCTACTAAATCCCATTTTTCCTCTATAATTTTATTGACCAAGTCCAAAGGAATCACCGTAAATAAGCTGATAACGTCAAGGGAAATCAATATGTAATCCCGTGGCAGCTTGTAACCGTTATAATCGTTAACAAATTGAAAAGTGTTTTTGATATTATAATCAGTTCTGTCGTTAAAAGCTAAGCTTAGTATGTTTGCCATGTAACCAGACAATTCATAGGAAGGGGTGCCCACAGAAGAAATAATAGGTCTTAAAGGGTTATCTTCCTTATGGATTTTTGGAAGAAAATACGCTTTGGCCAAGACTGAATTATATGTTTTTAATTTTTTAGCTTCGATGTCATTAATGAATTTTTGTGATTGTATACATTTAATAAAGGTGTTAATTTGTTTTTGAATGTTATTCAATGGGTCTTTTTCAATAACTTTGTATACTTCATTATCACTAAGCATTGCGATAGCTTTATTTATATAATCAGTTTTGTCCATTATCACTGTTGTTGCCCCTTTATCGGCCTTAGTAATGATAATATTAGGATTATCTCTAATGTAATTTTTTGTGGATTTTAGCATTGAAAAAATTCTGTTGTGCAACCCATCATATGTTTCCCTGTCTGATTGGAAATTGGTTATAATGTTTGTTATTTTAGCTCTAGCTAAGTTTTTTTGTTCTACGTTAAATCTCTAATTAAGTTTTCCAAAAACATCAAAAACCTCTTCAAATCAAAATTATGTTTATTGACAGGAAGATGAAACTTAGGTCCAAGTGATAAAAGAGTCACAGCTTCCTGGGGAATTAAAGTGGTTGTTAAGTTCACCAACCATTTTTTGTTATCTTTATAGAACTGGATTTCCCCCCTAGACTTAGTCAACAGTAAGGTTATTTTTTTACAATTAGATTTTTTAACATTATTAAAAACTTTGTTATATTTCAGTTTTAGCGAATCAGTGAAGGAAAGGAACAAGTTCTCAGTTAACCTAACTCTGACAATTCCGGCCAAGTCATTTACGACGATGCAGAAGCAATTTTAAATCAATTTAACAGTTTCCACCCTAGCATACAATTCACACTTGATCACGAAGTCGATGGGGGGTTACCCTTTCTTGACACTAAAGTCATCAGAAACTTGGATAACTCGATCGTTTTTGATTGGTATAGAAAGCCTACTTATTCTGGAAGATATTTAAACTTTCATTCAAACCACACTTTTGGCCACAAGATAGCAACAGTTTTGACAATGAAACATAGAATAATGCATATTAGTGATCCGATGTTCCTTGATAAAAATTTGAGATTTTTAAGCAATGCCTTTGTTAATAATGGGTATCCCCCAAAACTTGTTAATAAATTGTTATTCTCTACCAACATCTTAAATACAACAACAAACACAACTGAACAGATTGTTAAATATCGTAAAATTCCTTACGTAAATGAACTTACGGGTAAAATTAAAAAAGTCTTTAAGAATGTTGACAACATCAAAGTTGTGGATTGTTACGATAACAAATTACAAAAATATTTCACTAAAGTCAAGGACAGCACTGATCCACTATGTTATCTATTGCATTTCGTGTGGGGCATGCAATGGCAAATACATTGGGCAAACCAATCAGTGGCTAAGAAGTAGGATTTCGAAACACAAAAGCGATTGTAGGTTATTAAAAACCTCCTGTGCTCTATCACAACATACCACAGACACAGGACATAAATTTGACTTTGATAATGTCAAAGTTTTGGACATTGAAAAGAACTATCATAACAGAAACCTCTTAGAAGTTCTTTACATTAACTACACTGATGACTCAATTAACTTCAAAACGGAATTCTAATGACAAAAGCAAGAATAGGCTGGCCCCCTAGACTTTTTGTTTTTTCCGTTTACATAACACTTTCCTACACTTAATGTTTAACTTTTTAACAAATTAATATTTTAAAAATGTTATTTAATTTAAACAATCTAAATTTGTGTGTAGATTGTGAATTTTTATCGCTGGGGTTACTTGAAATTTAGTTATGTTAACTTTTATCATCAATTTGAATTTTAAATTTTGAATTTCAGTTACAGTTTTCTCTTTATATTTTAACGCATGCGCTGGGCGTATTGTTCCAGTTTTGTTCGAATAAAACTAGAATTTCAGAATCAAAAAAAAGAAAAAACGAAAGTAAAATTTTAACGTGTATCTCGTTCGTCTCAATGATTTTAACTTTTAATTCCAAGTTTTAATTTAATTAAACGTAATAATATCTATGTAATGTGTTCAATAATGTTTTTGGTTTATCCACTTCATAAACAAGTAAGTTTTTCAACCATTTTAAGAAAATTTTTTTTCTCTTTAACAGCAAATGTAATTCGCTCTGATGAAGGTTGTAATTCGACAACCGAAATATATTAGCAAATTGTAAAAAGTTGTTCTTGTGCTTATTTGACCGTTCACCCCGAATAGATCGTTTTAAAAAAGAAATATAATTAGTCCAGAAAAACTGCTTTTCCTTAATACTAATCGATTACATGTAGTGAATGATGTAAGAAAAATGACAAATTACTTTGAATTTTTATTTTGTTATTATTGTTTGTTTTATATTTAGGCTTATTTCGTTTTTATTATTTTTATAGTACAGGAATATTTACACTTAATTAAAACAAAGTACTCTGGTAACACTATCCTGCTGTGGTGTCATTTCTTTTATTTTACTTTTAATCATTTATAACGGAAAACCCAGTTAAAATTTTAATCTTTGTATAGCATATAGCAAGCAAGTTGTCATTGAATGTTTTTCTATTTGTCTTTATTAGGAGGATTCTCATCTATGGATCATATTGTTATCTGGAAGCCTATAGGGTGTTTATATTACTGCAATGACTATATTTCACGTGACTACAAAATACGAGATAAATGTTTTCATTGTAAACATGTCTATTATAACTGGTTTCAGACCGGACACGCCATTTAGAGAGAACAAACCCGAGTAATATTAAAATCACCGGTTACGGCTAAAAATCAGCGCTTTGGAAGAGATAATCACCATCAAGAGAAGAAAACTGGAATATCTATATCCAATATTCGAAAGGAATAGACACTCGAGAAAAAGATGTACAAGGTCGACCTTATGAGTCGATAGATTTTCACATAAGTCCCAAGTAATTCCAGTGGAATGCCAACACTCGTGTGGAGAAATAGGTTGAAAATCTACTAAATAGGAAGAGAAATAAAAAGCCCATCATTTTTAAAGATCTGATTACCGGTTCACATGTCTGAATAAGCTTAAGCAGTTTCTTAAATATTTAAACCGAAATTATAGAATTCTGAATATAATTCAGAAAAATACTTAACAATTAGCTTAAGAGTTAGCTCTTTAAAATAAATATCAAATTTACCTTGTGGTGTAGTAATAATATATCCACTACCCATAATTGGTACCATAGGTAATGACGGTATTTTCCCATTAAACTTACTTCTATACTTAAAATAAATACGAAACCAGTACGCTAAAATTGTTGTCAAAACACAGACCACAAGCAGAATGCACGTATTGAGATTAATCATGTTTACGCGACGAGCAACGACGAGCGAATGGCAATAATTACACGACAATTTATATTTAAAAAGTAGGTCCCAATAATTTCGTAATAAAAATGAAAATTATCTTATAAAATTGTTGTTTATGAAAAATATCGAAATAAATAAACTAAATAGAAAAAATATGTTATACAAATTAAGTTAAAAATAGTTGCACTCTAACCCTAGATAGATAATGAAGCGTAGATCTTTGCGTGGTCTCTGATTTGTGAGTTTGTTTAAAATGTTATGATAAAGTTTCATGTAAAAGACATAAGAGATAAATGATAAAAACTTTATTATTCTATTCATCTTCCATTGCTACATTTTCTTAAAATACTATAAATACTATATTTTATTAGTTACCATATCCTCTTTCTTATTTGCACTTTAACACCATTTTTTGAAGTGAGAACGGTTTCAGATGATATTTCCATTTCGTGATCGACGGGAAATAAATCATAATTTTTTAAAATTTTCGATATCGTTGATTTCATCGAGAGCATAGCAAATTTTTGACCAATACAATTTCTAGGTCCCGCGCTAAATGGAACATACGAGAATGTATTTATTTCTGTATTGTTTACAAAACGTTCCGGATTAAATTGTTTCGGATTCGGAAAATACTCTGGATCCAATTGCATAATGTAAGCCAAAAGTAACATTGTGGTTCCTTTCGGTATTATTAATTCACCTTTAATAAAAACAAGAAAAATTTTTAATAAAAGTCAAAAACAAATTAAAAAAAGAAGTAAAGTAATTTTGTTAATACCGTATTTTAAATCTTCTGTAAGCTCGCGAGCGTAAAATGGTACGGAAGGAAATAATCGTAAGGATTCTTTTAGAACTAGCTCCAAGTATTTCATATCCTGAAGATCCTTTTGGGTAGGTTTCCTATTTTTATCATCACCGAAAATTTCTTTAATCTCTGCGAAAGCTTTTTCCTATGTAAAAGAAAACGAAATTAATTCAGCATTCCACAGGCTATTTTAGATGGCGAAACTATTTTAATATTGAAGTTATTCCATTTCGCAGTTGTTGATAAAGAACGAGTGATACATAATAGGTAGATTAATAACACTGGACAACAAATTTTGGTTTATTTGCTGTATCGTCTTTGAAAAGTACGTTTTTTAGGCATTTTTGGGGTGCTGAATACAAATATGTCAATGAAATTTAAAACTTAGTTGCAGTTTTTAAGAACACATTTTTATTTTATTTTTAACAAACTAAAAAAAGAAATAGGTATTTTTACACTATTTTTGCACTTTTAGACTTTAGTTATAGCGCTGTCTTTTTGCTACTCTTTTGTAGATAGTTTCTGGAGCATCTCTAACAAGAGTCCAGCAGTAGTCTGCAAGCATGGAAGGATTCCACTTTCCCTGGTACCTTTTTTCCATATATGATATATCCTGATGAAAACGTTCGCCGTGTTCATCACTTACAGCTCCGCAGTTTTCAGGAAAAAAGTCCAAGTGTGAATGTAGGAAGTGTATCTTTAGAGACATATTACAACCCATTTTTTGATACGATAACAGCATATTCTTAACAAGAGTAACGTAATTGTCAGCTTTTTGGTTTCCCAAGAAATTGGTGACCACCAAGCGAAAGTCATTCCAAGCATTTTTTTCAATATCTGTTAGGGTGTTGTCAAATTGTTCGTCCTTCAAAATGTTTCGAATCTGTGGCCCAACAAAAATACCTTCTTTCACTTTTGATTCACTTAGCCTTGGGAATTTCTGACGCAGGTATTGAAAAGCTGGCCCATCTCTATTTAGTGCCTTGACAAAATTTTTCATTAGGCCCAATTTAATATGCAGTGGTGGCAACAAAATCTTTTTAGAGTCTACCAATGGCACATGCTGTACATTCTTTTGGCCTGGCTCTAGTGATTGTCGAACGGGCCAGTCTTGTCTCTTGTAATGTAGTGCCTTTGCCCGACTGTCCCATTCACACAAAAAGCAGCAAAACTTGGTGTAGNGAGTAAGTCAAATTTTGCTTTTCTGTAGTTATAACAAGCGGGTAAGTTATCTTTAAGATTTGGAGGTGCGATTACTGTGCAGGAAAACTCTAAAGTAGTGTGAGATATGTCCTCACGAATTAAAGGTGCATCGCTCAGTGCTGTCAGATATTGAATAAAAATTAGTAATAACGAGATCCAAAGTATGGTTGAAGGCATTAAGGTGGTGATTAAATTGATTCAGGCCGCAGAGGGATAGAGCATCGAGAAAATCACTAGATCGGGCACTACTGCAAGGCGACGGTACATTTTTTTTTCATTTACTTTTATTTATTTCAGTCTAGCAACTAGAAAACAAAACTAGACCGTTTTTTATACAAAAAAGAAAATTGATTTGACAACACTAATTCATTTTTTATAGGAAATAAAACTAGAAATAACAAAATGAAACAAAATTACTCAAAGTAAAACAAAATTCAAAAAAAAACTTAGCTTAAAATTTATCAATTACATGCTCTATCATTTCCAATTAGTACCATGCTTTGTTTATGGTTAATACATATACACTATTGATTATACTATTTATCTACTTTTTAACATGCAGTTTTTTTTTATTAATTCCTATCTACTTATTTTTAACATGCACTTTGATTCTTATCTACCTTTAATTATAACATGCAGAAATAAAACAAAAAATTACAAAAAACAAAAATTCATTCATTAAGCGATTCTAAGCTATTAGAAATTACAGAACTGCAGTAACAGTGCTTGGCCGTGTTTTGGATTTTTATTGCTGTTTGCACAGTTACCAAAACTTCGTTTTCCATGTCCTGCCAACGTGGAGGCGCACTGTTACCTACCATCTAGCTCGTTTTGCCATTTCTATTTCCCCTTACATACTAAGCATGCTCTTACTCTACTAGAATTAAAAGTACCTTAAAACTAAAGCTTGCGCTTGTCTCAAATCGGGATTTCTTGACTTCCATAATGTGTGTCTGCAATGACGGTTCTTCGGTAAAACCGGTATCCAAAACATTGCAGACATTGGAATCGACCAGTTGTTATGGTCTCGTGTTTANAAGTAAAGGTGATTTGCAGTTTTTATCAATGGAGTAATAGACCGCTTCTGAGACACAAAAGTCACTTCACCACAAACGTAACAGAAGTAATCCGGACTGTTTACACACTTTCGAGACATCTTACGTGAATGCTGGCTGGCAACTGAGAAAGTATAGCTGAAACAACATAATTTATACCTGACGTAACACTATCATGTGTTCTCGCGGAATCTACGACTATACCAAGTGCATTTTTTCCTGTTACAGTATTATTATATTTTATTATGTAGGGTCATGTAGCATCACGTATCTCTAAAACGTGAACTAATATTGCAAAAATAAAATTATTTTCGGAATCAGCGCACCAAAAATAATAAAGTTTTGTTGATTTTATTTTAGATACTTTTTGGCTGTTGTCCAGTGTAATGGAATAAGTGTGTATCCTGAAGGATATCGGGAACGATATTGATAGATGATGGGAAAGATAGGGATATCGGAGTTTATATAGAGTTAAAGTAGGAATGATTTTAAGAGAAATATCAAAGATTATTATGAGAGATGTCATGATGGATGATAATTAGAAATATTAAGAACGAAATTGATAAGATAGAAAATACGTGGAGAAGGTTGGGACAGCAATAAAAGATGTCAGGGATTATCTTGAGAGATATCTACTGGTTATTTTATTATCGTTTTTAAAAATAAGAGTGAAGATTTTAAAAAGTTCAAGAAATGTTGTGGGAGGACATTGTTGTATGCGTGAGAGGTAGCAGATTTGATAAAATTGTATAATCGAGAAGTCAACTTTCCTCAATGATGTTTACTACTAAGAACTTTTGTTAGAACTTGAAGAAACAAAATCCTAACAAAATAATGAATGCGCTCCGGTGACGGAACAGTTGCAACATTACCTAGACACAATATTAAAATGAGAATACTCTGAAGACACCCTATAGAACAACACCAAAACTTGGATAGAAAAGGACAACTGCACATTCAGAACACCAAAAGTAATAAGAATCACTGGATATCTACGACACACTGAACACATTAGAACTAAAACGAGAAATTATTATTTCTTTTTTTTATTTTATTTTATACTAGTGGACACAAAACGGAACAAACCCAGAAGATTGTCACTACATTAACATATAAATTATTAACACATTGTGCGGTTAATTACGCATAAATTAACTAACAAAAACAATAATTATTCTATAAAACAACAAACATAATAACACGGCAAAATGAGAAAAAAAAAGGAAAATACACATAAATAAATAAAATGTGAAATCAGTCTGTTCTGTACCACAGCGGCAGTTATCAAGCGCTTGAATGTCCCATACGAATTACAAAAAACATCTACACCGTTGCCAGTTTTATGGAAGTGATCGCAAGCAATCGCCATCCGAATCATAGGTGAATTTTGAAATAAATTTGTCCTCGGAATAGGAGTATAAAAAATAGTTTCATGTCTTAAAGATCGAGGTGGTATACGTATATTTACACAACCCAACAAGACCGAGGAGGTACATCTATTATTGACAATCTTGTAAAATGTCAGAGCATCGTTACATAAGCGGCGCTGGTGGAGTGGAAGAAGTTGGAAAGAGCTGCACGCAGAATCGTAATCATTATAGTTTAAATTAAATTTATAGGATAAGTGCTTTAGAAATTTCTTCTGAATTCTTTCGATTCTGTTTATATAAGTGTGATACTGCGGGTTCCAAATGGTAATGCAAAAGTTAAGTATACTAAATACGTAAGCAAAATATAAAACTTTCACCGCTTTAACGCTTTTGAAAGATTCTGTGGACCTTATGACAAAGCCCAACATTCGCAGCGCCCTTCCAACTACTCCATCAACATGACCACTAAATGTTAGTTTATTGTCAAAAGTGACCCCAAGGTCTTTAATTTGAGGTACTCTGGGTAAAACATAGTCACCCAAGCTGTAACCATATCTGATGACATTCGAACTTCTTGAAAAAGAAATAACGTTACATTTGATAGGATTAAGTGACATAAAATTTTCATAGCAATAGAGTTGTAGTGCATTAATGTCACGCTGCATTCTCGAGCAGTCGAGTGGAGAGGAAATTCGTGCAAACAATTTCATATCATCTGCATACATTAAGCACTGGGAGTGTTTTATTACTGTGAAAATGTCATTGATGTAAATATTAAAAAGAAGGGGGCCAAGATGGCTCCCTTGAGGTACGCCTGAAGGAACGGACATTATATCAGAATAATATCCATTAATAGATACCACCTGAGTTCTATCACGCATATAAGAAGCAATCAATAGCAACAAATAGTTATCAATTTCCATTATTTGAAGCTTTGACAACAGGAGATTGTGATCTACGCGATCGAAAGCCTTACTGAAGTCAGTGTATATGGTATATGGCATCCACTTGAATTGCTTGATCAAGAGAAGAAAAAATATAATCACTGTACTGCTTGAGTACAGTACTAATTGAGTACTGTACTTGCTTAAGTTACTCTCGACCGAGCGACCCGCAAAAAAGCCGTGTTGTCTAGTATCAATTTTATTTTTAGTAAGAAAAAATAGTCGTTTATCAATTAGCTTTTCAAAAATTTTACTCAAAATTGATAATAAAGATATTGACCTGTAGTTGGATACATCACTTTTGTTGCCAGATTTAAAGATAGAAACTATATGTGCCTGCTTCCAAAGACATGGAAAAACTCCAGATTGAATCGATTTGTTCAGAATAATGGTTACAGGAAGTGACAAAGATGCGTAACATTCTTTAATTATAATGGCAGGAATACCATCAGGACCCTGACCTTTTGAAGCATCAATTCCTCCCAGTGCCTCCTCAACCTCCATCTGATCAAAGCAACCGGATCTGCACTATTGAAGCCGGTCGTGACACCAGATACCACACCAGCCCGGGGG